GGGAGGGGAGGGATCGCTGCGTCGCGACAGAGGAGGATGTCGATAGGGCGAGGGACGCGGGCGGTGGATCCGCGGCATTGCTCTCCTCAGCTCGGTTCAAAGGCAGCGACTCGCAGCGTGAGGCGGTCAGGGGTTAATGACAGCGCTGGGTGCGTGGGGGGCTCTCCTCCTAATAATACGCGCCCCTCAGGGTCTAAACAGGACGGCTGATATTTCAGCAAATCCTATGTAACCGTCATATTACCCAGAATTCATACATGTATGTTTTTTACGAAAAGCAGGATCACGTCTCCACCCCCTGCGCAGTTCATTGAGGCGGTGGTCGCTGAGGGTATGCTGCAAATCTCAATGGGCGCCCCACAGTCTTCATCACCTGTGAGCTCAGAGTCATAGAATCAGCTGGGTTGGAAAAGACCTAAAAAATCATCAACCCCACTGTCGTTACTAGACAATGGCACTAAGTACCACATCCAGTCTCATCTTGAAAACCTCCAGGGATGGTGAATCCACCACTTCCCCAGGCAGCACATTCCAATGCCTGATTCCTCTCTCCATAACAAATCTCTTCCTAATATCCAACCTAAACCTCCCCTGGCAGAGCTTCAGTCTGTGCCCTCTTGTCCTACTGCAGTTGCCTGGGAGACCAACCCCCACCTGACTACAACCTCCTTTCAGGGAGTTGTAGAGGGTGATAGGGTCTCCCCTGAGCCTCCTCTTCTCCAGGCTGAACACCCCCAGCTCCCTCAGCCTCTCCTCATGGCACTTGTGCTCCAGTCCCTTCACCAGCCTCGTTGCTCTTCTCTGGACCTGCTCCAGCACCTCAATATCCCTCCTGAACTGCACACAGTACTGAAGGTGTGGCCTCAGCAGCACCGAGTCCAGGGGCAGAATCACTTCCCTGGTCCTGCTGACCACACTGTTCCTGATCCAGGCCAGGATGCCATTGGCAAGTAACGTTTTCAGAATACAAGTTCACAGGAAGATGCTGTCACTTGGTAAGTATGCAAGTTGCTCTCTCCTTTACCTTATGCTAGTCGGCTAGTCCAGGAAGTAGCATAGGCCAATTTGAAGCACATGGAAACACACTATAACACTTTGGGTTTCTGCTGCACAGAGGTCTTCCTGTATCCTTCCTCACCCTAAGATCTGCTGAACAAGGTCAGAGATTATATCCTGTACTATAACGCTGCTCCCTAACAATACCGAGTACTGTCTGTCCAGTGACATCTTTACAGTCAGCACCGTTTCTTCAAAATGTCCTGATTAATTCAATATCCAAGAAGGAACTATAATGCGAAACCCAACAACTCTAGCAGCCTCTGCACACCCACGAGGAAAGTCAGAGCACACCCTGTGGCAGAGACATCCAATCTGCAGCTGCACATCCAAAATGGCACGTGTCTGCACAGGAGCAGAGCCAGGAGAATGGACACCTGAACCAACAAAACCTTCTTCAGGAACCTGGTAAAAAAAGCCAACTAGTACAGACCTTTCAGAACAAGTTTATTAGTCAACCACAATTATAAAATTTAAATATTTATACAGCAAGATGTAAAATTCTTAAGTAACCAAACACTCCGAAGTTATTTTGCTGCAGTATACACAGGAATGGTTTTGGTTCTTTTACGAGTTGATCCAGCATCATCCTGTACTCAACAACTTCTTGAGGGCAAGTTTAATTTTGAGAATATGTTTCACAGGTCAGTGCAATATACGAAAAGAAAAAATTAAAGACCATACTAAACTGATTTTGAAAGGAAGAAAAAATAAAAAAGGAAACTAGGACAGGCACACTGAAGTCAGCTACTCCACCAAGAGCTTGTGGCTAACGCTGTTTGTGTGCATTGCCATAGTTCAAAGGGTGCAAATTAAAATGTTCCTTTGATACACAAAATAACATGTTCTAAATGTTGTCGTTTGTTTTGCAAAACATGCATGAAGTTCCCAAATCTTTAAAAAAAATCTGTACAAGAGAAGGAATACAAAGGCAGCCAGAAATGGAAGCATCCACAAACACTAGAATAAGGCCCTTCAGAGTTTATTTAAAGTAACATGTTAAACCCCTTCATTCTCAGGTAATAGATTAAGAGGCCGAGATACACATCGTCTGCGAGGGTGAGGATACTGGAGGTTGGCAGTGTCAGCATCGCAAGATTGCTCTATCAGAGGAGGAGGAGGAGGAAGGAGCTGGGCATGACTGGACCATCTCGATCCAGCCCGTGGGGAATCCAGAGGGGGAAAGAAATACCTGAAACAATTAAGAAAGGAACAAAACACCAAAACAAAAAACCAAACCAAAACAAACAAACAAAACAAAAAAAAAAACAAAACAAGAAAAAAAGAGAAAAGGTAGTAAATACAAGGAGAACCAAAGGGGAGAAAAGACATGCTGGAAAAAAAAAAGGCTTTAGTATATCCATGCCAAAACCAATAGAACATAATAGCAGAAATCAAGGCTTGTAATTCAAAACAAGACAAATCTGGAAACTGTTTTTTAAAGCAAAATAATACAGTCTTCTCCACCAAAATTCATAGAAAAGAATACCATAGTAATAGTCCTAGTGTACATTTTTACAGAAGAACAGACTGCTTTGGAGATCAGGATAGTATAGCACAGCTATGAACAGGCTTTCATTCTCCCAGAAACTCTGTGACTTGTTAACAGCTTTCAGTGACACTTCGCTCGTGACACAGAATATACATTAAATATTGTCCAAGTACATTTTCTGCATATGCATCTAATTCAGATTAACTTCACAGTGTTTCTAGAGTAGACGTAAAAACACCATTGTTTTTACATGAATAATACACATTTACAGAGAGTAAACTACTTCCAATGAAACAGAGTCTTTGTATGTATGTACATATTTCTGCAGTCCTCAGAGCAGCTTTAAGATTCCTGGTGAACGCAAGATTCGGAATTAAGCCACTTCGTGTCATTTTGCTGCTGCTTTTATTAGAACTTACCCGTAACACTTGTGCATTTTAGTATAACTACACTAGGTACCTACAGATGTTCTCTGTCCTGTTTACAATTCTGTGGATTTACATAAAGGAATAGCTATTAATAATTCATGGAATTATAGGACAACTCACAATAAGCTGCATTTTGGCTTCTATCTTTGTATGGCTCATGTGTTTGCATTTTTTTAAGGATACTATGTTTAGAGAATTTTAGTTACTCCATGGAATTATTACCATAGGAATGTACAAATACGCAGAAAAAGTACTTCCCTTAGGATGAAGAAAGTATGACAGTACTTACAAAACATTTATTTGAAGTCATCCCAAGGCATAAATGAAGCAATAGTAAGCTACTAAAAGCTACCATCTGTACAATTGTCAAAACAGTTTTTTTCCCATTCCTTTATAACTAACAGTTGCATATATTACAAAGCAGTTACAACCTTGTAATGTTTAGGAATCTTAATTAGCTGAACAAGACGAAATGTGAAACAAAATTAGTTATCAAAACAATTTTAATCAAAGTTGTTATAACGGTCACTTCCCTCCTCCCATCCCAATCAAGGACAAAAATTCCCATTTTTAATCATGAACTAGTCTTTTAATTTCACAAGCTTTCAAAAAATATGTTCTGACAAAAGTTTTGGGGTTTGAGTGGGTTGTTTATGGATTTTTTTTTCTAAACAAGAAGCCTCTCCAAGTATTTTTCTATCAGGAGTTCCAACACTAACCAACTGTGCAGGCTAGTACAAAAAACGCACACAACGTGTTTTTAAAAGACTTTTTGAACAGCATTTAGTAGTTAGCAGGCTGCTGGTGTCTTGGGAGAGGTCAAACGGCGTTGGGGAGGGGAAAAAGGAGTTCGTTTTCCATTCCTGTGTGCATGCAACAAGCAGCAAAACACCAAAGTTACTCCAGTTAGCTTGGTATCAGCTCTGCTTTCTGTTAAAAAGGACATAATACAAATGGAGAATGGAAATTGTATCATAAATCTAGACACACAATTACATCAACATAACAATATAGCCCTACTGATTTATTTTCCAACAACCTACATCACCTGTTCTGAAACTTAACATTTTGAGCACAAATCCAGTTTGGTGATTGTGCTTTTACAAAATGTTTCCTATCTGTCTCTGCTTTAGCTGTTTGAAGTGTTTAAATGTACAGATACCGAAACGTAGCATGTAGAGTCACAGACAAAATAAATTTTGAGCAGCATGCCTATCTAGTCAGATGCCAATGCATGAATCTTTACCAAGGTGTTAACACTAAAACAAAAGTTAGCAACTGTGCTTATGCAATTCAAGCCAACGTGATTATGAAAGAAAACATGTACTTCAGTGTATATTTTTTATAGTAAGGCCCAATCCTAGGACAAGACATTGTATGTTTTGAAATTCCAAAGCCATGCACTTAATTCTGTAACAAAACATTAATTCCAAATTGGAACTGAGAAAAATTGATTAAAAACACAAAACCAAACAAAATAAAACCCCTTCCAAAACACAGAGCAATGGTGGGAGTCTAAAACAATGCTACCAGTTTCAGAAGGGCTTACTACCAACTTCAGGGAGAG